GAGGTTAAATAACTTGCCCCCCATTGTAGGACCAGCTAATGGCAAAGCCAGGGCTACAATCCCAGGCTTCTGATTCCCAATTGGAGGCGCTTGCAACATGTGTAATTGTTTCTTAACAGCATTCAGCTTATATTTTTATTAACCTGCTAAAGGAATTTTTCTCATCTCTGTTCTCTCTCACCGACTGTATTACTCCCAGACTCCCACGCATGCAGCACACAGCAAAGTGAAAGGGCACCCTGCTGGGGAGGATGGGGGTCAGATGCTGCCACAGTCTCTGCTGGCTACCTTGGGGCAACCCTGCCGGGCCTCCTCTCCCATTTCACGTTGGCAAGACCCCAACGTATCAAATGAATCAGCTTGGCTTTTTCTGAGCTTTCTCCTTCTGTCTCCCAGAGTGTGCTGGAGGTTTTAAATGGATTGCATGGGAGTGAATGACTCACATGTGGGATGGTAATGAAATTTTGGAAATGAATATCTACAGAAAAGCAGAAAAACTGCAGGCCCTGCAGGGCTTGAACACGCTGAGAGCTTATTCACTGACGCAAGAGAATTACACAAGAATTCTCAATTTAGACTTATTAAATAAGGGAGATAGAAAATAACATAAAATATATGGCACAGTAATTTTGCTTTTTAAAGAGGCTTCCTTTCTCTCTCCCCTTCTTTCCCTGTCTCCCTGTCTGACTAGCTACACACACACACACACACACACACACACACACACCACATGTATGTGCATGCTCAGTAATTCTATTACTGATACAAGATGAGATCCTCTCCTCTTTACTGTAACCCAGGGGGGGGATTGTCACATAATGACCAGGGTAACAATTTTTGAATAATTGTTCTTCAGATCTGAAGAGTGTCTTGTTTCCAGATTACAGACTCAAAGCTTTGGCAAACTTATCGTCATTATGAAATCCTCTTGACGGTTCCATGGGAGTGAGCCACACCGTCTCCTGCTGCTGCAGTGAGAATCCTGGAGGAAGGCTTGTGTCATGGAGAAGTACTAGCCTCGGAGTCAGGAGGGCGGGGGGCTGGCTCCGCTCTGCCCCTAACCAGATGTGCAATCTTCAGCGAGTCCTCTGACCTCCCTGGGCCTCTGGGGCTCACCTGGCCCCTGAAGAACTCGCTGAGCTGATTGCCCAGCTCTCCTCCAGCTCTAGCAAGTGTGACAAGACATCTGAACTGTTACAATTTACAAAGTCTTTCACATAGATCGACCCAATCTTCCCCACAACTCATCTTATCAGTTGAGGAGACTGGGGCCCAGAGATAACGGGGTTTGCTTGGGGGTCACAGAGCTAATAGAAGAGCCAGGTTTGGGAACCAGGTTTCTGACTCCAAAGCCATATCCCTGGTTCCCAAATGCCAGGCCTTCTATGTTTTATTACTTATTGTAGAAAAGTGAGATTTTTCAATAATAGTTTATTAAAAAGTGACTTTTGCAGTTTATCAATCCAAATGGTATAGTCAGTCAAGAACAGTATCTTTCCAAGGCCCAGACCATGAGCTGCTCTGGAGAAGGGTGAGCCTTGACCTCACAGGAGTTAAAATCCCCTGGAAAATACAGCTGTAAAGTGCGCACAGCCACAGCCCATAGCCTTATGTTCAGCCTTATGTACTGGGGGTGTCCCTGGGAACATTCCCTTTGTGAAAATATATTTGGTAAGTTGAGCTATATGTTGAACACATAAAGCTCATCTGCACTTTAAAGTGGTCATCTTAGAAAATTCTTGCATAGCTTAAAAAGAAAGAGAACATTTCCTAATCCAACAGTTCTCTCCTGGGTCACATTTCCAGCTACGGAACAGAGAAACCAGGCAGAGCGGGGAGACTGGCCAAGATGGACAATGGCCACCAGCTCCAACGGTCACTGCTGCTCACACTGCATCTGCTCATCACTCCAGCTGCTGGGAGTAGGGATGGTGAGTGTTGCTAGCTCACAGCTGGGCCCCAGTTGCCTAACCCAAGGCCAAACACCAGTTCCCTGGGGTGGCCCGGTGAATCGCTGGTATGCATCAGGATGAAGCCTGGCCCCTTCGCCCCAGCTGCGGGCAGCTCTGCAGGGTTGGCTGAGGCTTCTCTTGTGGCTGCATCACCACACAGCTTATCCCTCTGCCCAGGCCTGCTTCCCTCCCTCCCCAGACATATACTGCACCCCAATCTCCATCTCAGAGTTTGCGTCATGGAAGCCTGACCTGCGACACACATCTTCCTTTCTCTCAGTCCTGATCCAGCAGACTCTCTAAAACCCCCACTTCTTTTTCTCTGATTATTAAAAGCAACTGTCCTGGCAAGGCCTCTGATGCTGAGAGCCAATGTTGAGGAGGACAGGGCACAGCTGTCTGTGAACTGACCCATGTGCACCTATGATTTTAGAACCTGGGAAGAGCCTTTTGAGACAAAGAAATAGGTGATTTGGCAGAAGCAATAGCAAAAGAGAAAATGATGTTGCATAATGAATGAAGAGGAAATTCCACCACACACTCAAGAACTTCATCCAGGGAAAAAACAGAGCCTTGTCTGACGCCTCCCTGAGGGCGCACGTTCTGGCCAGACCGTGTCTGCCGCAGCGTGGCGGAGCACACCTTCCATCCTCAGGAGCAGAACCGCAGGGATGCCTTCACCGGTGCTGTATTTTCTGCATGAATTCTCTTCCCTGAACTTCAGGGCATTTGTGTTTGTCATTCAATCAACTTACAAAACTATGAACTCCTCCCTCCCAATAGGGAAAGTAAATTATTCAGTTACAAAATCTGAATGTGTCTGCATAAATCTAGCTATAACCGAAATCATGGTCAAACCATCATAAGTAGGTCACATGATCAGTGTTTCTCAGGATCTAATGTCCACGGACAACCAAATCCTCCATACTGTGGGCAACACAACTAAATTCAGAGACAGTTGTGCACAGGAAATTAATATTAGATGATGTCATCTGACCTTTTGAATCTCTGCCTTTTTAACTATGAGTTGGCAGTATGAAAAAAAAACAACAAGAAGAAAAAAAAGAAGTCATATCTGCCTCTCACGATCAGGTCAGCTCTAATTTGATTGTGAGAGTGTTAGGTACAATTTTTGGTCATAATTTGGAGAGTGAACTGAAACAGAAGTCTGGTTTTGCCCCCAAGTTTGAGGGTTATGCATATTTGTCCAGGTCATTGGTGGAATTCAAATAGAACAGAATTTCCAGAGCAAACCCACTAAGTGTTTCCCAAAAGCATCAACATCCCCAGTCCCTCTGGCCAATATACAGAGAAACATGTGGATGTTACCTGAAAATACACACAGTGATACCATGAAAGGGTCAGGAATGGGAAGGGAGTATAATGAATGATTTCTATAAATCAGACACACCACTAACCTGTCTTCTCTCTGAATGTGAACTTATGGTCCCTGGTTGGCCTAAAGTGATATACATCTACAGAGTGCCTGCCTATTGGATAGCAGGTCTAATTGTTGGTTTTTAATGACACGTCACATAGGTTTGCATGTCCCTGTTACGTGGGGTTGCATGTCAGTGAAAATGAAGGATGAGCAGGTACAGGAAGAAGGACTCGTTAGGAGAAGCACTTACAGTCAGCATCACTCAGAAGCCCAGCAGGAAACAGAAGTACACGTACATGAGGATAATCCAGGAAGGACTATCTGGGGAAAATAATGAGATACATTATTGTAACTGTGTCCTCAATTTAGAAATGAATGAGGATTGATATAAATTATGTCAAAGGAAGATTTATTTTTATAAATACTAGAGGCCTGGTGCACAAAATTCGTGCACTGGGGGAGGGAGTGTCCCTCAGCCCAACCTGCACCCTCTCCAATCGGGACCCCAGTGGGATTGGGCCTAAACAGGCAGTCAGACATCCCTCTCATAATCCAGGACTGCTGGCTCCCAACCGCTCGCCTGCCTGCCTGCCTGATTGCCCCTAATCGTAATCGCCTCTGCCTGCCAGACTGATCACCCCCTAATTGCTCCCCTGCCAGCCTGATCGACGCCTACCTGCTCCCCTGCCGGCCCGATTGTCCCTAACTTCCCTCCCCTGCTGGCCTGGTCACCCCTAACTTCCCTCCCTTGCTGGCCTGGTCGCCCCTAACTGCCCTCCCCAGCTGGCCTGATTTCCCCTAACTGCCCTCCCCTGCTGGCCTGGTCCCTCCCCAACTGCCCTCCCTTGCAGGCCTGGGTCCCCCCCAACTGCCCTTCCCTGCTGGCCTGATCACCCACAACTGCCTTCCCCTGCCGGCCATCTTGTGGTGGCCATCTTGTGGCCACATGGGGACAGACATCTTTGACCACATGGGTTGGCCATCTTGTGTGTTGGAGTGATGGTCAATTTGCATATTAACTCTTTATTATATAGGATTATTGTACTATTAAATATTATCATCATCACTGTGATGATCTAAATAACTAGGGGCCCAGTGCACAAATTCACACACCTGTGGGCTGCAAGGCTGCAGTGGGCACAGGGGCGGGTCTCAGCCCATCCTCCGCACCCCTGCCTGGGCCCTCCTGCCACGGCCCCCAGTCCCCTCTCTGCATGGAGTGATTGGGGCCGGCTCCAGCAGTGGGTGCGAGCAGGGCAGCACCATCAGAGGGTGCGAGCTGTGGCTGATGCCCTGATCGGCCCTCAGGAGGTGGAGAAGCCCTGAGGGGCAATCAGGGCCAGCAGCCGCCGCTCACACCCACTGATGGCACCAAGAGATGGGGACCAACGCTGGGCGCCAGCAGCAGGTGCGAGTGGCAGCTCCAGCGCTGGCTGTGGGTGCAAGCGAGGCCAGGGGCCAGCAGCAAGTGTGAGCACTGGGCGGGACCGCGGGGTACGCGGGAGCAAAGAATTTTCAGTAACCATCAGAGGCTCACCCCAATGACAGCGACCGGCAACCTGCCCTGGTCTGGTGCCCCCGCTCACCTGCTTCACCATCCCATTGTAGCCGACACTTACCATATTCCATGACGCCCCCTGGTGGTCAGCGCACATCATAACGACCAGTTGTTGGGTTGTTCTGGTTGTTCTGCCGTTCAGTCTATTTGCATATTAGCCTTTTATTATATAGGATAGAATAAGAGATGATTAAGTTAAGTGATTTGTTACCCTTTAAAGTCATGAGTTTCCAAATTTCTTATTTAAGTGGTGATTGTATATAGTTACATTGTGTATTAACTTAGGCTTAGGTTCAACTACAAAGAACAGAAAACTCAACCAAAGAAAACCTGAATGAGATAAAGGCTTACTGTATTTTTCTTTCCCATAGAAGTCCCAAAACAGGCAATCCAAGGCTGCTATGGAGGCCCCATAGGCATCAGTAATCTGACTGTCTTCTGTGTTTGTGTTCCACCTTCCATAGCAAAAGGCTTCCATCATCAAAGCTGCATTACTGCCAAAGATAGCTGCAGGAACTCCAACCATCGTGTGCAGTCTATCCAGGAAGGAAAAGGATGGAGAAAATGGCAAATGGATGTATTATCCTACTGAGTCAACCTTGTTTGAACCAGTTTTTCCAGAAGCCAACTTAATGGCTTTCAAATACATCCCATTGACCACGTAAGGGAATTTGGAAACTGTGGGAAGAGCAGAACACATTACCATCAAGGAAAGAAGAGAATAAATATTTGGTCGGCAACTAATAGTCTCTGACACAATTTGCCTATCAGAAACATGCTACCACTAAGTACATGGTGATTCCACTAGACCAGCAGTTCTCAACCTGTGGGTCGCGACCCCTTTGGTGGTTGAACGACCCTTTCACAGGGGGTCGCCTAAGACCATCCTGCATATCAGATATTTACATTACAATTCATAACAGTAGCAACATCACAGTTATGAAATAGCAACGAAAATAATTTTATGGTTGGGTCACAACATGAGGAACTGTACTTAAAGGGCCAGAAGGTTGAGAACCACTGACCTAGACCATACACTCTCTGGGAGCAGGACCTCATCTATTCTGTTCACTACAGACCTCCATCCCACCCCCAGCAACCCAAACACTACATGAAATATAGAGTAAATAACTGGTCCAAAGTTACTCCAAGAGTAATAGATTGAGTCAAAATTAGAACCCTAGTACCTCCCCCCGCCCCAATCAATGCCCAAATGCCTCCTGAATTCCTCCATGCTTTGGGGCTGTACAAGGAGGTAAATGGTAGAGCTAGGAGAGAGGCTGGAGAGGTGGATTAGAGGCTAAGTAGTGACAGTTCTGAATACCTTTCCACCAGAGATTTTAAACACAGATTCCATGAGGAACAGTGAAGAGAGCAGGAAATAGAAGAGAGTCTGTAGAATGGTGCACAAATCCAGGTTAATGCTGATTAGCCCTAACCAAGGCGTTGTCAGTGGGGACAGAGGAACGGAGATAAATTTGAGAGACAGCTTTCTGGATCCACAAGACAAGGGCCATTGGCAATAGGGAGGGGGAGGTAGCAGGGATCACAGGCTTCTAACTCATGAGGCGGTGTAGATTAAGATGGCATTTGTAGTAACTAATAGAAGACAAGGTTTTTAAATGAAGGTTCAATGAGTGTTTTTCCACAGAACATCACCACCAATGGATAGCCAAGTAGTCCAGTAAAATAACCTAATTCAGCCAACAGACTAAAGGAATGAGCTTATTTTTAACCTCTTCTGTTTATCACATGTATAATCCTCAGTCTTTTTGTTTCTCTTATAGGCTGAGCAACTAGAATTCATGAGAACAGTTCATGTAGGACCAAGCTCACTGTTTTCCCAGTTTCCACAGAGGGGGGGTGCCCGCTGGCATCCACAGCAGCTCTACAACAGCTATTCCAGGCTGACAACCACCCTAGAATGCATCCTCTTTGAAAACGAAAGCCAATGTAATGTTTCCAATGTGGCTTTGTGAAACCTGAGAAGTTTCTACTCCTCTCTTCTGGTAATAATTATAAGGTGTTTTTTTCCTTGAGTGCAACAAAGCTGCAGAGAACCACTGCATAGAGCAGTGATGGCAAACCTTTCGGCGTGTCAGCATTTTGAAAAACCCTAACTTAACTCTGGTGCCGTGTCACATATAGAAATTTTTTGATATTTGCAACCATAGTAAAACAAAGACTTATATTTTTGATATTTGTTTTATATATTTAAATGCCATTTAACAAAGAAAAATCAACCAATAAAATGACTTCGCGTGTCACCTCTGACACGCGTGTCATAGGTTCGCCATCACTGGCATAGAGGATAGAACATGCTTTCGTCCACTTAATCTGGAAGTCTCACACAGTTAAAGATGGGCAAAGCATTTGGAAATATTAGAGGCCTGAATTGTTCCACTTTAGTTTGATGTCCTTGTGGCCAAAGCACTGGCACCCAGTTCTTTGGAATTATCTGAATAACTCCACATTCACCAGATTTTATTTTGCTAATAATTATTTTGTGTGCATTTTCTTTCCCATTATTGCTTAATAGACATCTTGTAAGGTTCCTGAAATGGGAACAAATCTAATTTATGTAGTGGTACATAACATCAACAGTTGATTTCATCATGAAGCAGAAATGCAAATGGAAATGTTTAAAAGAAATTTCCATTGCCAATTAGTTCGTGAAAACAAAGAAAATTCAAAATTTTAAATATAAAGAGATACATAGTAAATATATGAAAGGATATTTTACGACTAGAAATATGTAATTTAGTTTCTTTGTATATTCCTACTCCCTCCCTTGCCTTCCTAAATCTTTTATTGTCTCTTTATTTTCCAAATTGAATTACAACCTGATGGATTAGTTTCATTAAAAATTTACAAAAAGTTGAAAGAAATCCAATAATATTAGAAATTGTAAAATATACTGACTCAAATAAAATAATAAAGACAAGTAGAAAAGGAAGCAAAATGCCCAGAATATCAATCTACTTGCTTCTTGATGTCCTTAATTTGAGTGATTCATAACCAATTCCTAGAAGAGTGTATCTTCAATTAATTCACTACCAATTTGCTTTGGGTTGTTTTTTTTTTTAGTTTTCTTAGAATTTCTGGGTCAAGTGTTCAAATATAGCAATTCCTGTCTTCAGTCTTTGTAACTTAAGATAGCCATTATTTAACCTTGTTTTCTATAAATAATCCTTAAGGCCTTGAGGATATAATTGTCCCCAGTTCATTAATGAGCAAAGTATTATTCTAAATATATTGAGATTTCTGGGCACATTTTGTTTAAGCATTTCCAACAAAGCCTTTTGCATACTTCTCTCTTCCCACTCCCAATCCAATCCCCAGGACATGAGAATTCAGGCAAAAATGGTCTTAGATGCCATTATTAATATTTGTCAGGTCATGTAATCCATGTATTTTAAACTTGAAGGAAACCGATAGGTTTGAAGATCCCTTTGGCATTCTGAGATCTATAGTCTGACTCTCTGATGTTTCTCTTGGTGTCATTGAATACTGAATCCTATTCATTGCCTATAGCATCTCATAAACTTTGCAAATGAATCATCCTTAGTCTACCCATGTGACATTTCACTTCACCTTTTCAAAGGTGGACTTATGAGAGAGAAATAGACACCTATTTAGAAAATTTGGTCCAAATTTCCCAGAACATTTTTAAGCATTTCAAGGTCCAAATATGTCCACACACCCTTTCTCCATGAAATTCTAGAAGCATCCAAACTCTATTGCTATATTAACAAACCACCTCCAGCATTCATCCAGGGAAACAAATCTATGTTACCATGACTCCAGGCTGATGGAAAATGACATTTACGTCAATATCACTCTAAAGAACTTCTGCTTTCTTACCGCTTATAGATTTATTTTCAAAACACAGAGGTAAGCTATAACCCACTCTGAGCTCCCACTGAGGTCATCAATATAGTTTTCAGCAAATACATCACTTACACTGAAAACCAACTTTGTCACAATAGTGCTATTCTAATTCAAACCACAATCCTTTTCTAAAATAAAATCCTCTCTCTTGTTTCTCCAGGAAAAGAAAGTGCATTCTGGGCAGGTTTAAAAACCATTGTTTACTGAGCATCTGCCAGCTCTGTTCTCTTTCAAACCTCCCCAAATCCCAGCCCCTCCACAAAGGCTCCCATATATTGGCAGCAGTGAGGCCCAAGGCCATGGCCACCACTCCAGAGACCAGCACCATGCAGCCCATAATAATCCATTTAAAGGACAACTATCACTGTGCATACTTAATTATTTATCTGAACTTATTTTTGCTCTGTGATCATTCATCTTGACCCTATAGTATAGAGCATAGCATATAAAGGTGCTGTGCTTGTTTTACTTTCTTTACACTGGGTTCTGTGCTACCTGCCAATGAGGGTGGTTCTATCTCTGAAAGGACTCTACGTGTTACTTTATGATATTTCTCACATGGAAGGGTATTTACTAAACTCTGCATTTGCTTATTAGCTTTCAACTCCCTGGCCCTTATACTTCTCTGGTTAAACAAAGCACAATGGAAAAGGAAGGATGCGGGGGAGGGGAGGGGATCTTACTTAATGGGAATGGACTGCTGCTTATAGATTTCAATGACCAGAATGGTCAAGTAACACCAACTATTACATACATGCGCCTCTGGACGGATTTATGTATGTGTGTGTGTATGTATGTATGTAAAGGAATCTTGCTGGCTGTGTCTAGTACCAGGCACAGAGCCCAGGTTCTGCGGTCAAACTGCATGACTCAGGTCTTCACTCTGCCACTTTCATGAGGAATATTTTTCTCCTCTGACTTTGGTGTTCTGATAGGTGAAGCAGGCACCATCACCACAATAACGTACCTTGTGGGGTTGTGGTTAGGATAAAATGAGAGAAGATGACACTTGGGGCAGGGGAGGTGGGAGAAGGGCGTGGCCAGAGACCCCTCTCCCTTTGCTTCCCCTTTTCAGGCTCTGGCCCCTGAGTGTTTCTCATCCCTATTGTTTCCCTGCTGCACTCTCAATCCAGGGACTAATGGCCAAGACTGCAGAGCAAAGAACTGCCCTGTCATCCGCGCATTCACTCTAGGTGCAGTCAGAGCTCACGCGGTGAGCTCATGTGATTCGGCAGGTCCCACTTAGTTCATCCACAGCTTGACACTTTTTTGTAAAACATGGGATTCTACACAGGCTAGGGATCTTCCTGAATGAGGCATTACAAGGCTCCATGTTGGAGTCTTACCTATTTTTCTTTTTCTACCTCAAGATCATTGACAATTACATTCACTCCCATGACTTTACAAACCATCTCTAATTCTAGCTCCCATCATTAAGGGCCTGCTGTGGCCAGGCGTTCTACTTGTTACTTACCTGATATAAAACTGCAAGATGGACACTCTTTTTCTTCTTTGTAACTTATGGGGGAACTGAGATTCAGGAATGTAAGCAACTTGCCCAAGACCACACAGCTGGGAATGGGCCATGCTGCTACTCAAAGTTCAAACACCGCACTTTTTCCACTCTACCAGAAAAAGCAAACAG